CTTAATACTACTAAAATTTATTAACCCGCTAATTCGATGAATTTAAAGTAATACCCTTAATTTTACATGTTTCGTGTGTGCATCCTGACGGAGTACGAACAATGTACGCGTAGAATTTCGGACCACCGGAAACGAACGATTCGATGTAGCTACCGCGGCCGTAGCTCTCGAGCTCGTCTGTCATATCGCCCAGGAAATTCCCCGTACGCGGTTCATACTCATTCGGATCGCCGGTACTGACATATATACACGAATCCGTGTCGTAATATAAAACCCGTTTATCCAATAATTCTAAGTAACTGTACAATTTTAATCGTGCTTGCGCCGTTGTGTATGCCGCGATCACAACGTTCGTAAGCGGAGAATGCACGACCGCCTCTTTTCGGAGTCGCCACGAAACATATATTACCTCGTCATTTACGGGTAATATACCGGTTATCTCGTGCTCAGGACTCGTAAGCAAAGTCATAAATTGCTGGTGAGCTTTTATAATTTCGGTATTCGGCAAATTGGATCGTTGGCCGAATTTTCCCCAAAATGAATTTAAACAAAGCTTAGCGACCGAACGTAAACCGAGATTGCGCGCGATGTTTCGCCTGTCGAGTGTGATACCCTCGGTTTCCTCATATTCCCGAAGGTAACGCTTCTTAGCATCATCGTCAGCGTCTTCCCTGCATTCGCTCGGCCAGCCGCTCGCTTCTTGTTTTAATTGCAAAAAGGTATTAATATATTCGGCAAACAGTCCGCCTTGACGAGTACCGCTATCGTATCGTGCGACTTTATATTCCCAAATTTCGCTCACATGCGTCACGAGATAACCCTTCTCGATGGCTTTGCGTAATTCACAAGATACCCAGGTACCCTCGAATTCTCGATCCACCGGGTTTTCGTGAGTACACTCAACTTGTGAGAACGTTTCGCAGCAACTCCGACATAACGCAAACAATAATTTACCTTGTACGCGATACGGTAGTACCGGATGAAAGAGATCACGTGATGGGAGTACTTTACATCGCACGAGACCTTCGATCGAGTTGAAATTATAATTTGGTGATACCCCGATTAACGAAGAACACTCTTGCCCTACGTAAATTTTAGGATGCCCGATCGGGAAAACGCCGGTTTTCAATACGAAAGGATACAGAGAACATACGTCGACGTAACGTATTTTTTCCGTACCTGAAACTTCGTATCGCGTGACGATATTTCCCGTGCGTCCACCATAAAATGCTTCGCGAGGATCGAGAGGAGTGTTCTTTATCAACGGATGATCCTTAAGAAAATTCTGCATTTCTCTATTATTCGAAATTTCTCGGTCGAAGGAGCACTCCCATTTCTCCATCACGTGATAACCGCGTTTACGAAGGCGCCATGACATCGCGAGCGTCCGTTCGTAGCGCGCGTCGATCGTATCCCCGCGATTCGCAGACGAAAGCGTACTATCGCGATTTACTTTAAAACACGAAGGGCACCCATGCCAGAAACAACCGTGAAATTGTAGCACCCAGCGTCGTGACTCATTTTCTGTTTCGTAATATCCATCAACGGGTGTGCCATCAACTTTATATTCGCGGCCTTGCATGGATAATGGGATGTCCGAGTTCGCGTTCCATCCACACCAACCACTGCAGAGCTTTGTGCGATTGCCTGTCAACGTTTCTGTAACCGCCCGACGGAATGACTCCTATTTCCTCCTCACGCAAAAAGTTTTTACGAAAAACTCTCATACATGTGGAAACGATAGTCGTACATTCCTCAAACGGACACACGTTTCCACGTTCTAAATATATTTTTCTAAAACTCATGCACGCTCGTCGAAGGATATCTATATTTTCGACAATATCTGATAATTTCGCGTTGAAAAATATAATTTTCAAAAATATAATTTTCACGTGCCATGCGTGGAACTTTTCGCGTTCTTCTGGCAACATGTGATCGGGAGAATAATATCTAGCATCGGGAATTGATCCTATATACGATTGGTTATCGATAGTATTAAATAAGTGTGGGAAACAGCCTTTATTCGACGTATCGCTCAGACCAAAGGGCTTAGGTAAATCGGATAAACGCATCGGCATATAATTAATGCTATCGATAAACTTCGTATGTCCGACCATCATTACGACGATTTTTGTTCCGTTCAAAATAACGCGCGGTTCATGGGTGCTCTTCGGATTTTCTACAAAATATTTTAAGATAAATTGCGCGTCGAACGCTTTCGCATTATGCGCGATACAAATAATTTGAAACATTTTGTCGTTCGCGTTGCGAAATCGACAAATTGTTTCACGGGATCGAGACGGAATACGAACTCGCGCATTCCGCACCATCGGCATCGCACCGTCATGTCGTCTTCGTTTGCACATGCTACGCAAATTTGTTGCGCTACGCAAAGAGTCGGTACATGAATTCTCACGTTTTCGGTACCTACGAGCGTCTCGTCTTGCCGCGTTTCAAAATCGTAAAATATAAACGCGACACGACCGTTTGTTTGTTCGTTCATCGCAACGTTATCATTTTCATTTTCACACGCCTTTTTTTCTGCTCGCATTATCAGGGTACTTGTACCCTCGCCGGGATCACTAGCTTTACGAGCAAGAGGACGCATAGATGAAACATAGATGATTCGACGGTTGTAACGAACGACATGTTTTACAAAAGACCGTGTCGCATTTATGTACCGTGTTTGCATGTATAAGTCGCCCGCAATCGCTACAAATTTTAACGGAATTACATATGCTCGCGCGAGATTTTCCGTTATATGATTTTTCCGCTCGGTGACGCTCGAAACAAGAATTACCGAAAAACGTACGGTTACAAGCTTCGCACCTAATTATTTCTCTATCACGATTTACGCACGGAGGTGAGGCGCGACAACGAGGGCATTTTTTTGCGCAACGATGTCCCCTATCATTTCAAAAGCCCTCGTTGCACGTTTCGCAGTAACCGCCGCGCGAACCACCTGCAGCTCTTAAATTTAATATAGGGTTATAATGACGCGAATCCTCGTAATACATTATATTTAATGTATACGAAGGTTCGCGTCTGAGGGAGGCGAGTAATGCGCGACCGTCGTACCTTGGTTGTTCACCTCGGCCAAAACTACTAAAATTATAAATTATTATAGCGATATTTTCCGCGGCGAGAAACCGTTGAAAACGCTCGATTTCATTATATCCGCAACCTTCCTCGGGGATTACGATACCCGCGCTCCTCGTTAACTCAATCGCCTACTCACATTGTAACGAAGAAGTCGCGTATCTTACGGATTCCCATCGTTCGTGCAATTCTCCCGTGCGCAGAGTACCACGCTCGCAGTAAATCCTCGCCGTTACGAGAGAGCGAGGAAGGCATAGATTGTCGGAATTTTTTATTTGTAAAATCGAGCGTTTTGCGATGCTTTCTCGCGTTAATTTATTTGATCCCCCGCGCCCCAAAGGTACCGCTACGTTAAAAACGCATATGGTGAAATCCATCGCGATATCGAAACCCCTGGCGCTTTGCGCTATCGAACTCACGAGTTTCCATATGTCCTCGTGAGTCAAGTCTCGCGCCGGACGAAACGAAAGACCTGCAGGGCCATGCGATAAATTTGGCGAATCGAAGGATAATCCCCACGTAATCGCTCGGTCCGCTCAAACGTATCGCATACGCGTGGATTTCGCGAAACGCATTTTCTAAATAATTCACGATATCGCTAGCACCCTCCGCGAGAGGACGTATCGCGAATGTCGCCTCCCTACCTAGTACTTCAAATTTTTGAAATTTACGCGAGTTTTCCGCCCGTAATACAATATAAGTGAAATTTTCACTGACCGTGTCGCTGTCGTCGACCGCGGCATCCTCGTCGGTTAACCGATGCTCCTGCTGTTGCTGATGTTGCTGCTGCTGCTGCTGCTGGTGCTGTTGCTGTTGCTGATGTTGCTGCTGGTGATGCTATTGAAGATCCGTCGAATGGTTCTGAAGCCGGTGTAAATAACGATCTTTTTGTTCTTCTTCTTCGCGTGAAACGCCTCCTCCTGTTTGTACTGAAAATGGGAAACAAAAAATATTAATGATAAATATTTTAATTATACTCGATTTTATGTTAGCGAATAGATTCAGCATACCAAAGGTATCTCTTACCTTGAGCAGGTTTCCTCTTCGCTTTTACAAAGCTTTTATAGAGCTTTTATAGAGCAAAGCTTTTATAGAGTATTAATCTAGCAAAAAAACATTTAATTATAAATTTATCGGAAAGAATAAATTATCTTAAAATTTAAAAATAATATTAAATTTACCTTCATAATTTTCCGGAGAATAGCCCGTCCGTGTTTCGCACTGATGAAAAACCTCGATCTCTTCTTCTAAAAGCCCATCGCACATTTGCTCAAAGGCTCTTCTCCTGTTTTCTTTGCCATCGTCTTCTTCCTCGTCATCGTTATCGTCATCTTCTTCTCCTTCTCTATCTTCTTGTCTTTCTTCTTCGTCAATTTCTTCTCCTTCTTCATCTACATCTTCTTCTTGTTCTTCTTTGTTTTCCTCCTCATTTTCTTCTTCTCCATATTCAGATTCATCCAGGTCGTTTGCTTGTACTAAAAAAGAAAGAAGTCGTTATTATTATTATTACCTTTTTTCAAGAATTAGCTAATACGAGTTTTGTTACGTCCAACCCGAGGTAAATATATTTTTATATATTTTTTTTTTTAAATAATGGATGGGGCTTGGAAGGACGCTCCAAATACCCTCTCGCAGGTGGCCGCGCTGAGGCGTCCCTACGAGTCGGACACACTGTGCAGAGCCACGAGTGCGAGTCAACGTCTTGAAAAAGACGCTATGACTTCGACTGCGTGACGTGCGTCCGTCGGTCCGTAATTTAGGCAAGAGAATTTAATCTCTTTTGCCAGGGACAGGACCATGCGCGAATCTTGGGATAACGAGGAATGAAAGAGGGAGCAAATAACTAAACGATAAATAATTTAAATTTTACATATAATTAATAATTTTAAAACTTTACAAGGTAGGTACGTATCAAGATCGTATACAAGATCGTACATTAGCTACAAGATCGTATCATATTTTTTTTTTATGTTGGAATATATTTATTGACGATATATTTATAAAAATATAAAACAGGAAGGGTGTTACGTACAGAAATTCGTGTCCTAGAAATCGACGGATGTATTGTTTGGTTTTTCTGTGTATAATTCTATTAATCTATTAATTTAGTATTTTTAATTTGTTATTAATCTATTTTAAATTGTATGTTGTTGACTGTATGTGGTTGTTCTGAGAGGAGGTCGGGTTTTCGCTAGTGAGGTCTAGGGGAGGAGGGGAAGGAGTCCGTAGTTCACAAAACTCGTCCAAGGATTTCTGGGTGCGGAAATCTGGGTATGTCTGGAGGTCATGGCGTTCTGGGAAGAGTACACTGAAATCTGTGATCCAGGTTCAGCTGGTTTGATCGGGGAATAGGATGGAGGAGATATGTGTAAATAATGGGGTCTCCTGCTGGAACAACTCGTGGTTTCTTGATGTGTTAAAACCTCGGATGTCCTAGACGAAGGATAGTTCCCCGTCTGGCGAGCTCGCTTGTTCCGACGGTAACGGAGCCTCTTCAGGGCTCGCCTCCGTCTTTGAGCGTCGGAGAGTGTGGATGATGCAGCTTTCACTAAAAGAAATGGATTTGGAATATAAAGGAAATGTCATTAGTCGCGAACCTTAAGGCTATCTC